TCCTTTCCATTATCCTGGTTCCTGTAGTTATGACTGGTTGCATACTTATTTATCAGAGTCTGGTTCTAGGATCCACATATGAGGGAGACATATGTCTTTTTTTTTTGAGTCTGTGTTACTTCACTTAGTATAACAGTTTCTAGTTCCATCCATTTACCTGCAAATTTCATGATTTCGTCTTTCTTTACTGCTGAGTAAAACTCCATCATATAAATGAACCACATTTTCATTATCCCCTCATCAGCTGAGGGACACTTAGGTTGCTTCCATTTCTTAGCTATTGTGAAAAGAGCGGCAACAAACATGGATGTAGAAGTGTCTCACAATAGGACGAGCCCTTTGAGTACATGCCAAGGAGTGGTATAACTGGGTTACACAGTAGGATTTTGTTTTAGGTTTTTAAGAGTTCTCCACACTGCTATACGTAGGGGTTGAACAAGTTTGCAGCCCCACCAGCAGTGGGTGAGTGTTCCGGAAAGGGTTTATTTTATCTTACATCTCCTGGGTTGCAGTTTATCAGGGATCCCAAGGTAGGAACTCAGGGTAGGAACCTGGAGGCAAGAGCTGGAGCACAGGCCATGTAGGAATACCGCTTACTGGCTTGCTCCTACTGGCCCATGCTCAGCCTGCTGCTTTCTTTCTTTTTTTTCTCCCTTTGAAACAATTCAGTGTAATTTAATGTAATTTATGCACTTGCTATGTAGACCAGGCTGGCTTTGATCTCACAGAGATCTGCCTGCCTCTGTCTCCCTAAATGCTGGGACTAGAGGTGTTCGACACCACGCCAGGTGTCTATAGCTGCCATTCTTTAGGTGACCTTTGTTATTGAAGGAACTGGCTTTCCAGTCAAATGCGTACAATATGTCCAGGGCAGCAGGAGACAAAATAGCAACAGTGGTTCAGTTCCAACATTGTTTGTTCTCAGCTTAAGCATAGAAACGAGTTTCCCTAAATATCTCCTTAGCTATTTGCTAATAAAGTACATTCTTGAGAAGACTAGCTCTATCAGGAAAAGGAAGAACAGGGCTGGAGAGATGGCTCAGCAGTTAAGAGCACTGGTTGTCCTTGCAGAGGACTTGGGTTCCATTCTCACACCCACATAGCAGCTAACAACCCTTCATAACTCCAATCCAGGGAAATCTGATACCCTCTTCTGACCTCTACAGGCATTGCACAACACAGGTACACTTACATATATGTAGGTAATACACTCATATACATAAAATAAAAATACTATTTTTTTTAAGAAGGGAGAAAGGAAAGGAAGAGCTCCACTATCAATAAGGCAATCATCAGTCCTGAGCACTCTGTAAAATGGTGTGTACGACACCTAAGCCAAGTCACATGAAGATACTCGTTTCCCATGTTACCACAATGGAACTTCCCATAAAATATGAAATTGTCACACGTACTGCTTTAAATAGATGTGCGTTCAGCAGTGTGCAGAGGTCACGGGTTCTGTTGTTTATTTATCTCACTGTAGGAGGAGCTAAAACATCACTTATGTGATTTTTTTTTTTTTTCCCCCTGAGATAAGAGTCCCTTGTAGCTTAGGCTGGTCTTGAACTCACAATGTGGGCAAAGATGAATTTGAGCTCTGATCCTCTTTCCCTCTAATGCTGGGATGACAGGTGTGTGCTGCCATGCCCAGGCTATGCAGTGCTGGGGTGGAACCTAGGACTTCATGCCTACTAGGGAAGTACTGTATCAACTGAGCTGCACCCCAGCCTCTCAAATGTCTTAGTTGGCTTAGTTAACTTGGGTCACCGTTTAAAAGACTGAATATAAAGGATTTTCTTTTTTTTACTTGTATTGATCCATAGAGGTGGATTGCACTGATTTGTGTTCTTTGCTTCAAGTTATAGACAGTTCATGAATGACTTTTTATTCACACAAAAGGCTATTGCTGATGCTGTGTTTTTCTACAGTCTCCTTAGAACCTTCCTTAACCATCCTTATTAGCTACCTCTTGGAGGTTGTCTTTGCCTGATTCTGGAGTCTACTGCAGAGTAGATTCCTTGCCTTCCTGCCCATCTATAAAAACCTGTGTAAAGCCTAGGGGGGGAAACAGAAAAGGCTGCCCTCTGTGTCTGTGTTCCTTATGGACGGTCACTTGGCTTTCATAAAGGAGATTCAGATCCTTCTGCAAGAGATTAATAATGGGAGGTAAGAAAAATAATCCTAAGGAAGGCTGTTCTGGTGATACAAAGCTTCAGAAAGCTAATTTCTAAAAGTTAAAGAAGAAACTGGGATGAAATCTGTTAGCCAGAGGGTAGATCCACTTCCTGGGGGGAGTGATACCTGCAGCCTCCTTTTTTAGTTTCATATAGTCATCCAATAAATATGAAGCACATCTCAGCACACCAAGCCTTTTACAGTCAAGTTTCCCGTGGAAGAGAATAGAGGTGAAGCCTTCCTTCTCTTTGCCTTGGTAGACTATTACCCACATTGTATGGCAGGATCTAAGCCCAGCTTCCCAGGCTCAGCTCTCTCTTACTGCTAGAAACCTGACTACACCCCCAGTAAGGTTTGGCTTTCTTTCCACTCCATCCCACTCCAACCTTGTCACTTTCTTTAACTCTGTTTAATTTTCTTTAACTGTTTCTTTAACTCTCTCTCTCTCTCTCTCTCTCTCTCCCTCCCTCCCTCCCTCTCCCTCTCCCTCTCTCCCTCTCTCCCTCCCTCTCTCCCTCTCTCTCTCTCTTTCCCTCTCTCTCTCCCTCTCTCTCGCATTGCCATAGGCCATAGCGTATGTGTGGAGATAAAGGGATCTTTTGGATCAATTGCAGGCCCTCAGGCTCAGCTGCCAGCACTTTACACATTGAGCTGTCTAGCTGGCTCTTCTGTTAACTTTTCTAACTGTCTAGAAGTAATTTCATCAGGGTAAAGTAGGAGAGCACATATAAAATAAGTATTTATTTTAGTGGGCTTACACTTTTTTTTTTCATTTTCTCTGTCTCCTTTAGTAGTTTAAAATGTGTTTAGTTAACAGTGCCAAGAATCACCTATTTTTAACCTTTCTCTGTTCCTCAGGCTCCAGATTTCTATGTGCAGATGAAATGGGAATTCACCAGCTGGGGTGAGTGGCAGTAGGCTTGTAATTTATTTGTTTTCAAATTTACTTAGCTTATTCATCGGTTTATTTTATCCTTTGTAAAAGCTGTATGTATATGTAGGGCATGTTTGGTTTTTTGTTTTTGTTTTCGAGACAGGGTCTCACTATATAGTCTTGGTTGGCCTGGAACTCCCTATGCAGACCAGGCTGGCCCTGACTCACAGAGATCCCCCTGCCTCTGCCTCCGGAGTGCTGGGATCAAAGGTGTGCACCACAACACTCAGTGTGTGTCTGTGTGCGCATGCACGTGCTCTGCACTCCCTGCTCATCTTCTTGTCTTTCTACCTGAGCATATGGATCTTGTCTCCCCCTTTCTTTTTTAAAAAATATTTTGTTTTTGTTTTATGTGTATGCGTGTATTGCCTGCATGTAGGTAAATGCACCCGTGTCATGCAGTGTCTGCAGAGGACAGAAGAGGCTGTCGGATCCCCTGGAACTGGAGTTACGTACAGTTATTAGCTGCCATGTGGGTGCTGGGATTTGAACCCAGGTCTTCTGCAAGAACAGTCAGTGTTCTTAACCGCTGAGCCATCTCTCCAGCCGCCTTGTCTCCCCTTTTCATTGTTTATCTCCAACACTGATCCATCTTATTAGTTTGCTTGCTCTCTCTCTCTCTCTCAATCATCTACAAATCATCTACCTACCTACCTACCTACCTACTTTATCTATCTATCTATCTATCTATCTATCTATCTATCTATCTATCATCTATCTATCTATCATCATCTATCTAATCTATCTATCAATCATCAATCATCTGTCTGTCTATCTATCTAGCTTATCATCTAGCTATCATCTATCTTTGTGGGAGGATGTAGCCCTGGCTGGCTTTCTATTCTGTGTAGCTCATGCTGGCAGCAAATTTGTGTTAATCATCCCACCTTAGCCTCTCCACTGCTGGTGTCACAGGTGCACACCATCCCTCCCACCTTCTTCTCTTTTCTTTTTTGTAGAAACAGAATTTTACAATGTGACCTAGTCTGGCCTTGAACACTTGGGCTCAAGCAGTCTTCCCGTCTCAAGCTCCTGAGTAGCTGGGACTGGGCCTGCATCACCATGCCTGGCCATCTTTTTTTTTTTTTCCATCTTCATCATTTTTTAAAATGCCACTTTACAGCCGGGCGTGGTGGCGCACGCCTTTAATCCCAGCACTTGGGAGGCAGAGGCAGGCGGATCTCTGTGAGTTCAAGGCCAGCCTGGTCTACATAGAGTTCTAGGACAGCTGGGGCTACAGGGAGACCCTGTCTCAAAAAGACCAAAAAAAAAAAAAAAAGCCACTTTACAATACTAACATTTTAGTAAGTAGACAGTAATTTACTTGTCATCTTATGTTGTTAGCTTGATTCTCTCAAACTTATTCCGGGGATGAGGGTAGGGCAGTTTGTTTTCCTCGTTTCTTTTTTCTTTATAAAATGGATATATTTGCCACACAATCCTGCACAGCCATGGTTAGTAGATTTTCACAGCTCCCCTGCTTTTGCCCCTTGCAGTCAGGGAGCAGTCACCTAACACTCAGGGTTTTATCTGTTTTCATTTCCAGAGCTCTTTTTCAGATAAGCTGTATTCATAATGAAGCATGTAAAGGGGGCAGGACGTTTAGAAAACAAGAGGACTTTAAACTGTTCTGAGAAACTAAGGAGCGCTTTTCTAATGCAAGATGATCACTTGAATTTCAGGGTTTCAAAAAACTGGCAATTCCACACACGAGATATATTTTGAATATAATCTGGAAAGCCTTGGCCATTTGGCAAGAGTAGCCAGTACGAATAAGAAAGGCCAGATACACAGACTCACCAGCCTTGGTCAAATAATAAGTAGGGTTCAGCTCAATGTTGAGAATACTCTTGGGAAGTTTGTTTAGTGTTTTCTCTGACACATGGGACAGAAGGTCCATCTATCTATCTATCTATCTATCTATCTATCTATCTATCTATCTATCTATCTATCTATCTATCTATCTATCTATCTATCTATCTATCTATCTATCTATCTATCTATCTATCTATCTATCTATCTATCTATCTATCTATCTATCTATCTATCTATCTATCTATCTATCTATCTATCATCTATCTATCTATCTATCTTTCTTTCTTTTTCTTTCCTTCCTTCCTTCCTTTCTTTCTTTCTTTCTTTCTTTCTTTCTTTCTTTCTTTCTTTCTTTCTTTCTTTCTTTCTTTCTTTCTTTCTTTCTTTCTTTCTTTCTTTCTTTCTTTCTTTCTTTCTTTCTTTCTTTCTTTCTTTCTTTCTTTCTTTCTTTCTTTCTTTCTTTCTTTCTTTCTTTCTTTCTTTCTTTCTTTCTTTCTTTCTTTCTTTCTTTCTTTCTTTCTTTCTTTCTTTCTTTCTTTCTTTCTTTCTTTCTTTCTTTCTTTCTTTCTTTCTTTCTTTCTTTCTTTCTTTCTTTCTTTCTTTCTTTCTTTCTTTCTTTCTTTCTTTCTTTCTTTCTTTCTTTCTTTCTTTTTTGTCTTTTTGAGACAGGGTCTCCCTGCCTGGAACTCACTCTGTAGACCAGGCTGGCCTCTAGCTCACAGAGGATCCATCTGCTTCTGCCTCCTGAGTGCTGGGACTAAGGGCATGTGCCACCACGCCTGACCTGTTTTTCTTTATTTTTAATTATTTAATTATGTTTTTGATGCTGAGGTTGAGCCTCAGGTCCTGGTACATGTTAAGTGTATACTGTACCATTGGACTATATCTCTACCATTTATTTATTCTTTGTGGTACTGGGATTGAACCCAGGGCCTTATGCGTGCTACACTGGGCAAGTGCTCTACCACTGAAGTATAACTCCAACTCTTTTTAACTTTTCGTTTGAGACAGATCTTGCTAGGTTGTCTTGGCTAGCCTCAAACTTGTGGTGCAGTCCAGGCTGGCCTCAAACTTGAGCTCTTCCTGCCTCAGCCTCTTGGGTGCTAGGCTTGTAGTTGGTCTTCACCATGCTCAGCTTCCATTTCTTTTTTTTTTTTTTTTTTTTTTTTGTTCTTTTTGAGACAGGGTCTCCCTTTAGCCCCAGCTGTCCTGGAACTTACTATGTACACCAGGCTGGCCTCGAACTCACAGAGATCTGCCTGCCTCTGCCTCTCAAGTGCTGGGATTAAAGGTGTGCGCCACCATACCCGGTTGTTCCATTTCTATTTTTAAGGATGACTTCCTATATAATAAGCATGGGAGCCAAGAAGTCCAGTTGTATTTGATAGTCACAATCTTGCCACTGTGTTCCATTTGTTAAAAGTCCAAATCCCAAGCTCCTGGCGTATGTGCTCTGCTTGGCCCTACGTTTTTCTTAATAGTGCACTTCTCTCCTCCAGTGCCCTTGGTTTCTAGAATATGCCCAAATGATGTCTGTCGTATTTGGAAAAGTGGTGCCAAACTGCGTGTTGATATCACATTGCTGGGATTTGAAAACATGAGCTGGATAAGAGGGAGACGCAGTTTCATATTCAAGGGAGAAGGTGAGTGTTTAATGACCACTGCTTGCACTAAATTGCAGGGTCATTGCTAGCCATCAACATACATTTATATTTTTATTTATTTTTGGTCTTTTTGAGACAGGGTCGACCTGTAGCCCCAGCTGTCCTGGAGCTCACTATGTAGACCAGGCCTTGAACTCACAGAGATCTGCCTGCCTCTGCCTCCCAAGTGCTGGGATTAAAGGCGTGCGTCACCATGCCCGGCTATATTACAGTCTTTTTACCCCTTCTTCCCACAGTACTTCTTGAGCCTTAGAAGGAGAGTTCTGCAAAACAATTTTTTCAGACTTAGGTACCTTGCATTTACTTGTACCTCCCTAAAACCACCCAGCCCCAGAAATTTCACGTCATTTCCTCCTTTATCATACTGTAGAAGACATGTGGTGACT